AAAGCATTGGCTAGCTTTGTTGCCACATGTGTAAAATCACCTTTTACAGTCCCCTTCAGCAGGAGATCTCAGCAAATAGCATGGTATTTCCAGATATTACTGATATCAGTTGCTCTGTGCGCTCATCATGCTCTTGAAAATGCGTTTGCCTTATAAAAGTTCATTTGCTTTTAGCCATAATTCCATTCAAACACAAAACTATCAATACTCAAAGACACGATGAAAGGTACTTTTCAATATTGTTGTGAATGCAAGTCAGGGGGATATTCCAAACATCTCTGCTGATTTTCATTGGCATGCAGAGAAGCTAAAACATTTTAACCATTATTATTGCAGAACTGTTTCCAACCAGGATTATGACCACATACAAGTCAGAAAATCTGATTTACAGAATACACTACTCAGCTAGATTCTGTGCTATTTGAAAAAGCCACAAAAAGCTCCAAATGCTAGATTTGTACATGGTGAAAGAAAATGTAAATCCCCTAAGACAATATACTCAATTAAAAAAACAACTCTAAGAACTACATTATTTCTCTTTTAAACTGAATGACTAAGAAAAGAAACATAGTTCCTGCACCCTGAGATAGACAGCCATAAAACAGTACAATTTCCAAATAACTGTAAATTTTTTTWAAAAAAAAACAAAAGCCACAACATGATCAGGAAAAATGATAATAGCATAATCAACAACATTAGCCATTCAAAAAGTCATAATGGAATTATCATCTCTGTAATCTGTACTTTGGGATATGATAATCACAGGGCTTAATACAACATTAGGGAAAGTCCAGCCTGGCCTCCTGCTCTCTCCCAGAGAATAAGGAACTACTGAAAATTGAAGGTGGGGAAAAGGAGACCTACCTTTGTTTTAGTCTTTCTTATCCATTGATCTCCAAAATAAGTATATTGTCACAAACAACATGAGATCAATATAATAACAATGCTTAGCTTTGTTCTGTGATCTGTATGGATCTGTGTTAAGTGAAATACAGAACTTAAATACACAAATCAATAGAGAATTGTTAGCATTCCTATTTTTATAATATATGAACCTAAAGCTTGAATTTTATCTAACAATACAGTAATTTCTTTTAGTCAAATTGCTCTGCTGATTTTTATATTGCAGAAAACAGTATCTAACAATCAGAAAATAGATTTTTAAAAGTCAGCTGCTTGTGAAACTACATTCGGTTACGTATTTATCCATGCAAAGTATACAAGTGCAAATGTACTGTCAAGAGAGAAATTTCTGTTTAAAATCACAATCAGCTTCTTTTCATGAAATTACTTTTCTTTTTTAACACTGTAAATTACACTTTTCCCTGACTCTATATGTTTTGCAGAGTTGACTGTGTTATGCAGAAATGTTGAAAGAATAGACCAAAAATTGCTTGAAGTAGTGGACAAACTGCAGGATTGATTTTTGCATCTCTAAATATAAACATTACCAAGCCAACCACTTATGAAAAAAAGAATTCTTTAAAATGTTAATTTTGTTTACCAGCAGAGACATGTTTCTTGGAAAGAGATGATGTCTCTTAAATAGGTATGTTTATCTCAGCAAACATAGTAGGTTTCTTTTCAATTGCACAGATAATATTCTTCGCGCAGGTATCCTTGCTGCATACACCTTCCCCTCAATCACCCGGCTAAGCCGTATTCTCCCAAGCTGCACATGTATCACTCCAGCTGATGGGAACAGGACACGTGTTTATCAAGGAAAGACCTAGCAGGAATAAAGGTTGAGAGAGAGAAATACAACTACTAGGTTGAAGAAAAACGGAAATAAATTTGGCAGAAAGCATCTGCAAGATGAATAGCAGAGAGAGAAATACATTTTTCCATTAATATATTTTCTTGAAGGACAAGTAGAATAATTGAAATACTGGTCTGGTTTCCTTACTAGTTTAGCTCCATGAAGTATGTATTGTGTTTATTTACATCACTACAAAATAAATATCTGAAATGACAGTCATTGTGTTAGTTGTCCTTTTTAAAAGAAATGCTAAGAAAGATGGAAAAGCAACTACGTTCCTGTTTCTATTAATACTGTTTCATGTTCTATTCATATTTGCAACTCCACAGACCCTAAAATCAAAAGGTAATAATAAACAAGCCAATAAACAGAGTTCTGTCATATAACAAAATAGGCTTTGCGCTTCATAAAATGGAAACTGTAAGTGTGCAAAATCCGTTATTTGGCATAGCATGTAAATAATCTGTTCCATTACTATAGAAATATCCTAAGCACGACTGCAAAAGTAACGCAATCAATCTAATAAATTACTGTTCAAAGAAAACATTAGGCATCTGTGTTTGCTAAATATGATTTCCTAATTTAGCAGGAACAGTTCCTTTCTCGGAGACTCATGGCATATACATTTCCATGTTGCTCATGGTTCCTCATATAAAATCTCTCCTCTTGCTTTGCACCACAGTGCTATTTTTTGTTACAYTCTTAAATTGGGATAATAAAGTCAAAAAACACATCACAAAGGTCTGAAAAGGACATTGCTCTAATTAAAACATATCTTCCAGAGTTCCCATTATTTTTTAAATCATCCTAATTGAAATACAAATCATGCTAAGTTTTACCCACACAGGATATGCTTAATTTATCACAGAATTTCATGCATTCCATGATACTGCATGAAATTCCTGCAGAGTTTATTCTTTCTTGTCTTGCTATGTTTGACTAGGTACAATCAATCTATAGAAGTTATTACATTTTCCTGAAGTAAGAAGAAATTAAGAGGTRTTCAGGGGCAGGTGCTACTTCAGATTTTCTGTGTTCTAATCCCTCAGCACCATAGCCAGAACCAAACAAATGTTGATTTTTTTGCATTATGTTGTGGGTCCTTGTGGCTTACATAAATACAACAAGCAGCTGTATTCCACACAGCTTTTGCTTTGTTTTTCGCTACAGAAAGCTCTAATCACATCTTGATTTTTATTTATTGGGAAAATTATTTCTCTAGATTTCTTTAGGTGCCTATGAAATTCCACCTACTGCAATCACCGATTTCCAAAATAGYTCTACTGCTATCAGGGAATTTAGCTTTCATGGAAGTGACTGTCACACAGCGTCTATGGCTCTACAATCTACTGTGGAAGCAGCACAGGGAGAGAACAAACCCAAAACAAAAACCTAAAACACTAAACTGCAGCACGGACTACAGGAAGGTAGTGCAAAAAACCAAAGCCTACTGTATCAGTGAAGTTATTAATACCTTTTTGACTAAATAGAGAAGGCATTTTGAAATTATTCAGTTCTGTTTCCAAAAATAATACCATTTACATTATTTGAAAGCTCAAACTCACCATATATCTAACAAAGGTTCGGTTTTGGCTGTACCATGAGTGGTTTTTGCTACCAAGCCATAAAAATATAAATCAGGCCTCATAACAGTATTGTGGGCACACTAGCTGGCACAGGCATCCATCTGCAAGCCTCAATTAAAGACTAAGAGCTTAATTCTAATCTTTACATAATTTTCCATGGATATTATTTTATACATATACACACACACACACACACTCTCTCTCTATTATTTAGAGTGCAAAGACTATGGGATTCACCATGGAAATGCATATAACATTGCAAGCTATGTAATTCATTAATTGGCAAAATTCAGCTGCTTTCCATCTTTTCCAGCCATAAGATGGCTTAAAGAATGCTGAGTGGGATTTGAATATTATTGCAGTTTGATGACAGACATGTTTCTGTAATTCTCCATTGATAATGTATTGACAAGACACTAGGCTACAGCACACATGATCATGCAGTATACTATGATATACTGTGTAATTGGATTCAATGTACGTGGAGCCAATAGCAATTTGGTCATGGATTTTAGGTTTGATTGCTTTCTTTGTCAATGAAAACCACTCTGAGTTGTCTTCATCTACACATGTTGTTTTGTAATACAAATTTATTCTTTATTGATACAAATACCTTATAAGCAATTTAGCTAGCGCCTGGGTGTATTTAAGTSTTATTCAAATTTAATGATCTAGAAAATATGTAAAGTCTTGAATCAGCAACTGAGTAATAAAGACAGAAGACAAAATACCTCAATCTGGTGACATTTCAGATTACTTTCATATTTCCCAAAACCAATAAGATAATCAACACTAGAAATAAACACGTATTCAGTACTTATGAGCTTTGGCAACACACAAATCTATTTTCTACAAATATCTTCTATAAATAAAAAGGGAAAAATATTACTCTGTTTTTATGGAAAGATGTTCTAAGGTCTTTCATCAAAGGAGCAAATTAGGAGCTGGTATTCTAGACCTCACTGAGGACTGGGAGGTTTTAATCTACACAGAAATGCAAGAAAAGCAAACTCAGCAGGAAGTGAATGGACATAAAATAGGGAGAGCCATGCAGAAAACAACTACTACTCAAAAAGTTTATAACGTCCTTGATTACGGATAAAAACAGGTGTCATTCAACACCTGCAAGTACCACTGCAAGCAACCGACTTGTACACTGTTGGTTCAAGTATCACTATATTTTCCACAGACATTTCCTCATAAAAAGCTAGACTAGAATGATAGGAGTCATTCTTCTATTCTCAAATATTCATAAACTAGTCTAAATGCGACTTCTAAAAGCGCTTATATACTTTTATTGATAAACATCCATATTAAAGATAGAAAAATAAAGATATATTTATTCATTTTTAATATATTTATGTATAAAATTTTAATCAACTTCTATTCCTCTAGAATAGAGATAATTCTCCAGATAATTTTGTAAAATAACTAAAAATATAGCATATATGTAGAGAAATAACTTCTGATTATTAACATATAAGACTTGATCTTCAATTACATTTTCAGAGCAAATGGGACATTTTAAAATCCTTTTTTTTTTTTTTTTCTAAGATCTCTCTTGCTTGGGGTTGGCATTTCTGCATGAGCAATTGTGATCATTACAATTTATGCAGAATAAAGTATGGCTCTCTATGGCTTCATTTATATTTTTAAAAAACCAAGTAATGGGAGTTTTACAGTCTAAACAGAAATATGTTAGAAAACGAATCAGTGAAATTCACAAAAGAGCTATTCAAGGAAAATAACAACCCAATTTGAAATAAAACCGTTTATGTTTTGATTATTGAGATAATTTGGATATCTATAAGGAGAAAAGGAGTATCAGTTTTCTAATTAGGTTCTACCTGTCAAAACCCACATTTGTTTAAATATCCTCAGAGGGTTCCACATAATCAGTAGAGATGAACTAATCACAGTTCTACAGAGCCTATTTCCATGGAATTTACATCAGTAAAAGCTCTTCTGATGAAGAACACAGAATTCTATCATTACTCTAGATATGCATAGATTGGTTTAAAATTCATTATTGAATTATTCTTCAGATATTAGAAAGTTAAAGTTTTCCCTCACTTAGCCACCATTTTATTATATGGACAAAAATAAGGTTGCAAAGGGATTTTAACACCTATATTAAACTATGTAAATTATTACAAGAGGTAGATTGAAGAAATCTTGAAGTGGAGAGAGAAGAGAGAGAAAGAATGTGACGAAAAAAGCCCCTCTCCTTTAAATGCCATTTTACAGGTGATACATGGCCAGAAAAAGCCTCTCATCATGTGAGCTTTCAGATATCTCTTCCAAGACATGGCCTTTCCTCTTGGAAGTAATTATTTAACTTTCCTTGTGATAAAGTCAAATGAAAAAATAAATAAATAAAAGAATCAGATAAGGGAAGAAAATATTCTTTCAAAATCTTAAACTGTACTGACTTGCACTAAACTTTGGGGGCAATGAGCAAATATCACTTGACRTTGGATTTTACAGAACTGTATGAAAATAAACAGTACATAAGCAGTTGTGTTCTTGACAATAACATATGTGCTAATTTAACCCTTTTATTGATTTAAATTAATAAGAGATTAAGACAAATTATTGGTGGCTTCTAGAGAAAAGCTAAAAATCAAGAAAATCCAGACATGCTGGAATAGATGCTACAATGTAAGTTAAGCTTCCAGTCCTAGTTCTAAAACAGGTTGAGTGCCCATTAACAACCCCAGATTATTTTTTTGAAAACAAAAAGAATAAAAACTTTCATAGCAACACGCATCACCACACAGAATATCTCTCATGATTTCTGATCATCATCACATTTTATGTTCATATTGGCCAACACAACATGAAAATAAAATCTTTAATACAGTAGCTGAAAATATATAACCTCCCAAAAATTAAGTATGATTTTACTTATCCATCTTTTCTCAACTTCTTCCATCTTTTTAATTCTGTTAGATTTAGTATTAGTGTAGCCCATTTTCATTTGTGCACATTAAACCACCCCACATGTATATTTTTTAAACATCCACAATGACAGCATGTAGTGAGACTACCTGTAAAGCTGCAAACCCAGACCAAAAATTAAAAAAAAAAAAAAAAAAAAAAAATTCACAACGTATCAAAATACGACTTTGCTTCTCCCGACTATCCTGCACTCCTTGTCAGCCACGCACTTCCAGCAATAAAGTAACATTCTCCATTTTCAAGCCACGTGACAAAGCCTTTGCAGTGTTATCTAATCTCAATAAACAAACAYCTGCCATGAGTTGGCAGCCATCTGATAACCACCTTGCAATGATAAGGCTACAATCAATTCTCATCAAACCTTGCTCTAAGGTGATTTCCAATTGCTGTGACTTATCATCACAGAGTGCAAACACACTGACTTTGAAAACTTGTTTTTAAGTGCTCRTCTCCAATCATTATGCTCTAACTTTATTCAACATACAAATCTTGCTTTTATATTATTTTTATTGCTAACCTGTATTCACAATTAGTCTTGTCCAACTAGACGCAGTTTTCTACATATCACAGAAATACTCTCTACAACCACTTGCTAACACATGTTCTGTAATGAATAACTTCCATGGAGAAAATTATAAATCCCTTTTTTTTTTTCTCAGGTGAGCCCTCTAGTACCGCAACATTGAGAGTTATCACAATTCTATGCACTTTCAGTTACCTATTTCTGAATTGCCTAATAATCAAGCCAAGCGAAGCAGTTTGGCACCACCAGGTTTCATTCAGCATCTGATTTCTGTATTGATCACCAGCTCATCAAGCAGCTCCTGTTTCTTATGTTCCCAATGACCTGTACAACAGCATCACCCTAATTTATCATTATGTTTACATCCTCATCTTTTGCATGTCTCAAAATTAATCTCAATAAGCCTAGTGGATACTGCAGGGTCCCACCATAACAAGCTGTTGTGCTATAATTAAACAAACAAACAAACCTGTGAGGATGTCACACTTCTTTGTTCAGATCATTTACTGCGCAAGACRTGGACCGTCAGAAGGACATCATCAAGGAGGAGGGCATGCACAGCAGCTGGTTTTGGTGTAGGCAGATGATTTGGAATTATTTAGTGCAGAGCTGTGGGAGAGAGAAAATCAGTGAAAGATATATTCAATTTTTATCACTATTTAGTTGACATATCTACAACATTCATACAACAGGGAAAATAATTTAAACGTCGGTTTAGAATTCTTATTTGAAAAATGCTCCTTATTCAGACTTGCCTCCTGTTGRTGTTGAAGGAAACTTCAAAAAAGTCTGAAAGAAATGTAAGCATGACAGAGAATGCTGAACAAGCACACACTGGTGGACTTCATCAGGAGGCATTTTACCCCACRTCCAACAAAGCCTGACCATAACTGCCTTTATGTGTTTCTGCCTTGCAACGGCCTAACAAGCTGAGAGAATATCAGTGTCATTCTTCACAGATGGGGGAAACGAGGCCTGGGGGTATATGTAAGGTCACACAGCAAGTCAAAATCAGATTAGAGAGAGAGWGTCTTGCATTCCAATTTTGTAATTATCCCCCAGATACAACTACTTAATTTCTCCATGTATAAAATGCTATAACTGAATTCCACAAAACTCTTTTTGTGCAAAATAACATGCATAATAGTATGCAGTTTATGTTRGAAGTCTTACTGAAAGTAAGAAGGTTGCATTACTTTCTTCCCAAGGGAAGGAAACCAAAATTTTTTTCTTTGTAAAGCAACTGAAATCTTCTTCCAAAGTTCTTGACTAAATAAGGATTTTTCTTGCAAGATAATATGACAGTTTTTCTATTGTGTGTTAATATTAGATCAGAAATCTCAAATAAAACAAATCGCTTTGAGGGAGAGAAAATGAAAATACTTGATAAACATCTCAAACATAAAACAGAACTGAAATGGAGCAACTCTTTTCAGATTTGAACAGAGCTCTGCAAACCAGAAACAGAGTTGAAATACTATCTAAACAATTTCCAAAAGCTTACAAAAAAAATCCACCTGCAATCCCAAAGGTCCAGCGGTAGTAATAAACCTTGCATGTAGTTTATAACCACATTGAAAAGAACATTAGCTATTGAAACTCCTATAKCTATACAATTTTCCTCTTCGTTAAAGGATAGTAAAGCTGCTCTTATGCCATTGAAAATAATCTGTATTCCAGCAGCAAATGCTTGACTATGAAATACTCCTGAATGYGGAGCTGCACAGTCCAGCAGCGTTTGGGGTCAGATGTGATTTTCACTTGCATGTATAGACGTAATTCTATAYGTATGAAAGACAAAGCTCCCTCTGAACAAAGTACTGCAGGTGTTAGACCTAAAGCCAGCCTGGATTCTCTTTAGGTAAAGCAGTAACTCCGGACCTAGGGAGAACCCTGGATTTTCTGATCACATGGGCTAGCCAGAGAGCGCAACAGAGGCACACACGAGTAGGAGAAAGCAAACAGCTCCTGCTAGCAGTGCTGCGTGTGCCGTGACACCAGGCACGCAGACCTTCCCACACCTCAGCCAAGCTCACCCTGCTAGGATAACTATTTATTTATAAATACTCTCACAAGTGTCTTACTTATTAACAGTTTATCATGAGCATATAGTAAAAAAGAAAAATAAAATCTACATTTTTGATTTGAAAGTATTAAAGGTTGCCAAGAAAAGACTGAATAACTAATAATACCTTTGTAACTATATGATTTTGACATATGGCACCAAGCAACCTCTTCTCATTTATAAGAACAATTCTCAATGACATCAAGCAAAGAGAGTCACCAAGTGCAGCTTTGCCCTTTCTCCTCTCCCTCACTTTAAATCACCCTACCAGAAGGAAATTTGAGGAGCTCCTACCTACAGTGCCTATGAATGAATGGCAAGTGAGCTTTTATTCTTAAATGGAAACACATGTTTTATCATGACCCAAGGGAAATTTTTAAACAGAGGCAGAATACATACATGCCTGGCAATTAAAGATTATGTTACAAAGTCTGTTTAAAAGACAGTGCAGAGAATGAAATGTTCATATTATTTTTTACTTTAAAAACAGTTAAAAGCAGAAAAAATGGACAACTAGAGTAGACAGGAAAGACAGCTGAGCATAATTAAACACATTAATCACAGATGGCCTGCCGCTATGCAGGTCAATGTTAGTTTTGAATCAGTTTCTATAGCAATGCATTGGACTTGGGTACTTTTATAATTTCAATTTGGATTAAAAATCCATCACCTTACTGCAAAAATTTCCCCTACTATATAAACTGAGTAATGTTCCTGTATCACTCATTTCAAAAACAAAGAGACAGAAGTCTGATAATTTACTGAACTTTTTAAGAAGATAATGACATCTAATGAAACCTAAGTGTCATTCATACTCCCACTACAACCCTCATTTATAGACATGATGAATGTGTTCATATAGTTCTAGGATATATACTGTTTATGTACATTCATTTCTAGGGTAAAGCAGGATGATTTGAAGTGGAATGTGTCAGAAAAAAAAACAGGAACAGACTATCAGAAAATTTTAAGTTCCCACTCATCACTCACAAAAATCTTTGTTTTTTTGAACAATTTCCCTTATGTTCCCAAATAAAATAACTAGATTTGATATTAAATACAAAATCACGACAATTCTAAATTTCAAGTCTTGGTTTCTCTTTAATTTCCAAAAATGCTCATTCTGGGAGACAGACAGGAATATGTTGTAGTGTATTTTACTAAACAGCAAGCAAAAGAAGGAAGCCTGAAAACTCATCTTGTTTCTCTATAGCAGGGAACAATAAAATGCCAAAAAAACAGAATGTGTTCTCTCTGCAGTGTGCATGCTATGTCCATTAGCATTAATGGTAGTCACATGGCCATATCAAGGGAAAAATTGCAATCTGAAGCTGCGAATCAGAAAAAGACAACATCATTATTTAAACTGCTGCATCAATATTACTCAGCATCCAAAAAGAAGACAAAGAGTAAATACTTCTTAGCCCATATTGCATTCTGGATAAACAACAAAAATCTCTGCATATGTGACTATCGGTTAAAATCAGGCCAATTTCTTTGATAAGAATCTGCCTTTCTGACTTTGCCATTTCACAGGCCTCATAATCTGAACATTTCAGCAGTCTTTAGGAGAGGACAGAGTCAGCAGCAGTCTCCAGCCTCATCCAATATACATTCTGGCAGGCTAAAATCAATACACTAAGATTTCTCTGCCAGCTTCTTTATCCTCCTTCCCATTTGCTGCTGACTCTGGCCTCTCCCTTAAGTCTCCCRCACCTGTTACTGTCTGAAAAATTTGTACTCCTCCAGTTTACAAATTGCTTAAACCACTCCAGTAAAAGCAAGGGAAGAAGTTCTCCTTTCTGGCCATCCCAGAAGCAAGGCCTCCTCTGCAAGAAGCAACTTGGCAGGAGAGCCTGGAGTGATTTTACGGCTGCATCTGCTCCATCTGTTTGCACGACGCTGTCGGTACCCTTGGCCAAGAAGGCTGCGGTTCCGCGTCCAGCTCGGCGGCACGACGCCGGGATCAGCCTCGCCAGCCTTGTYGTAAGCAAATTCTAGAAGCTTTATACTGCAGTTTGGTCATAAACATTTCTAATAGGCTCCCCAATAAAGAATATACATATATACACACATATGCATACATTTATATGCATGTGTTTGTATACATATGTATATACACACACATATGCATGTGTCTGTATGTGCACACGGACATATATGTTATATATATATATATAATTTTCCTCCCATAGATTAAGAAGACTAAAAATTAATCTGAGCAGGTATCTTAAGAGATGGTCAAGTCAAGTGGCACAAATCTCACTTAGGACATTTTTACTGATTCAGATCATTTCCTCCTAACAATAACTGAATGGTGCTTTATAGGTTTCAGCCCATAAAACGAGTGGCCTACTTTGTCTCGTATAAAGTGAGAGAATTGTTTCTTGACTCTTTTCTGTGTATGCAGGAAATTCTGCATTGCCTTGCAGGGGTCAGGCAGGGATTTCTCTATTCTCCGCTTCTCCCATAGACTAAAGAACTAAATAGCACAATCCTTCTCTCCTAGGACTTCAGGGTCTATAACTATGTCTAACCATAAGACTTTAACTCAGCTATTATGGGAAACTTCCTACTGTGCACCAATACAAAGGTTAGGCACAAACCTAATCTCAAATCACCTTTTTTTACACCATTATTTTTCAAGACACTCCCTATGGTTTCTACTTTGTATGACCTTATCAGTACGGCCTTTTCATCTGAGTAAATTCTACTCGGCTCCACTGGCAATGTAGATCTAGTCTGAAATAATCCTAATTATCTCATTGCATGCGACCCCAGCTCCAGAGGAATTATGCACAGGGAAACAAGGATTCTGTAAGGCATTCAAAGTTGTAACTATTTTTACCCCTGGAGACGCTTCGAAACAGCAATATTGCAAACTGATGGCATTTCAGTATGTTCATGGCTGTGTTCAATTCTAACAGGATTTAGCAAATGCTCTTTCAGTTAGGAAACCCAACTGAAAAAATTTGTAATGCTCCTTCAGATAGTTGAATAATTCCTCTGTGTAATTCAGGTAACAAACAAAAAGGCTGCGGCAGCATGAAAGTTTAAATCTTATAATCACTGCATATACAAATAATAGAATTATATTAGACATCTAGTATTTCTGTCACTAGATTTCCTAGGCATAAACTGACAATAAATTGTGCTTTTATTATTATTATTATGGCAGTGTTGTAATTTGTCTTTTCCAAAACCTAATTAAGCTTATGCATCATACACCACTCAAAATTGTTTCATCTAGCCTGGAGTTAGTCTGATTTGTTCCCGTATCTAGGGTGAATCTTTTTCTCCTAATATTTCTCTGGGGAATCTTTAAGCTTGGAAAGACATTATATTTGCTAAGATTGCCCGGGCATCCTCCTAATGCCAAACGCTGTCAGTTTCTGCTACGCAAGTTCTGAAACAACAAAAACAACAACAATAAACCCCATTACCACTGAAAAATACACAGAATTTTCCAACCAATTATTAATTATGACAGCTCTGTTATAAACAGACAAGCTCAAATTCATTTACATGAAAACTGGGATAAATT